ACTCTTCCGACCAGTACAGCTGGGACAAAGGACATTTAGGAGATCCTGGTATAGAACTGGGACTGGCCATTATCCCTTTCACCAGGAAAGATACTAAATTGTGCCTGGGAATGATTGAGTGTGCCTGGAATTAACCAAGGTTATACTTTTTACTATGAAGTGAAATGGGTCATATAAATACAAGTTGAATTACAGAAAAACTTAGGAAATTAAATGTAGTACAAATCTGTATGTGGCTTGAAAATATTGCTCCTGCTACCTATGTGAAAGATGTATACAAAACAAAACAAAAAAAAGTTATGATAGGGTAGTGAAATGACTAATGGATCTTTCTGTAATGATGTCAGACTGTTGTGTTCAAACTGGAAGAATGATGCTTGTCGTTGCCTGGAGGTGGCAGAGGTAGTGTTACCTAGCAAGGCTTGGGCATGTCCCTCTGGAAGCCAGAGTTGCCAGAATTTTCTCCTCCTATGGCCTGGGCCATGCTCTAAACCTAGGAAAAGATTAATACATGTGGCCGATTGATTTTGGAAGTTCCGTGTGAGAGTTGCTAATAAGCAGCCATGTGACTCTGGGCAAGTCATATTCCCTCTCTGGGCCTTTGTTGTTCTTTCTGTGAAATAAAAGAATTAGGCTTAACCATCTCCAAAATCACTCCCAATTTGTTGATTCTGTGATTCTTTGATTTTAGGTATAGGTATAGGTATAGGTATAGTGTGTGTGTGCATGTGTGTCTGTGTGTAAACAAAGGTCAGAGTGCTGAGGGACAGAGCCAAGATGGTCTTTTCTGGGGATATGGCCCCAGCCTCAATAGTAGATCTCTGGGACATATCCAGAGCTCATGTTTACCTTTGCTGCCTCTTCTTTCCTTTCCTACCCACCTCAGAGGTGGATAGGTTTCTGTGATCCTAACATCTTCACCACCATTCATAAATAGAATTAATAAATGGAATGCTAAATGGGCACTAGGCATTGCTAAGCACTTTAAATGCATTATATATTTCATTCATTCATTTCAGTGATGTTACCGAACTCATTTAAAAAAATTTTTTAAAGATTTTATTTATTTATTTGACATAGAGAGAGAGAGACAGTGAAAGAGGGAACACAAGCAGGGGCAGTGGGAGAGGGAGAAGCCAGCTTCCTGCTGAGCAAGGAGCCCGATGTGGGGCTTGATCGTAGGACCCTGACCTGAGCTGAAGGCAGATGCCCAACGACTGAGCCAATCAGGCACCCCTACCAAACTAATTTTACAGATGAAAGAAATAAAGCTTAGGAAAGCCCAATATCACTGTCAGTAAGGAGAGGAGCCAGGATGTGAACTCATGTCTGGCTGATTCCAGGAGTACATGCTCGTACACATGAGTCCCAGAGAAAAAGTATCACTGCTTGAAGATCATGAAGTGTTACACACAGAAGGACTTAGGCTGATCTCTGCTGAGGCCTAATGAGAAAACTGTCAGGGTCTCTAAAATATAAGCCCAGACCCGGACAAGACCTGATTGCCTCAAACAGGCATGGCTTCTGGATGCAGACCAGACTTCCCTAGGAATGGTTCTCCCTTGGCCTTGCCACCCTAGTTTTACTCACACTTCCTGCCTGCGATCCATTAGGCTGGAACATGACTTTTGTTATCAAGGCACAGATCTGTGTCGACACTGCCATGCTATTTATTCAGCTTCATGTGCTAGACATCTTGCCTTTTCCTGATGAGTTCCTAGAGCTCAGGGCCCCAAAAAGCTGAGTAGGCTTTGTCAAGCACACATACAAGCTTGGCAAGGCCCACGCCTGACTGAGTTAGCCAGTAAAAATACAACGAGCCACCTTAGATTCAGATAGTTTATTACTTACCTATACAATGAAAGAACGAATGCATTAAGGTGCTGATGGCCAGTGGTCCTTGTCCCACAAATCATAACAGAGAATATTGAAACAGAAGGGGCCAGATGTAAGTTGTGGGATAACCAGCTGCTGAGAAGCCCGTTCTAGATGGCAGCCAAGTGATTCTTATATTCTGCAACTCTGTTCTGAGGGGGTAGGGCAGAAAGCCCACACCTCATCAGAACCTAGGAGATGAGAAGCTGTCAGGGGACAGTGCCCTAAGATCCTCATAAGCCTCCCATCCTCTGCTGTTCTGGGAGGATCACAAAGCCTTCTGCTAAGACTCAGAAAAGCTTTGGTTCGAGGCCCATTGAGACCTATGTAAATACACGCAAGGTTGCGAGGGTACATGTTGGAGATATTCCCCTATAGCTTTCTCTGGTTTGAGGCTTTTTAAGCTCACCAGAGAGAAAAATAAAATTGAAAACCAAGGAATCTGATCTAGACCAATCCATAATTAGCCAAGTGACTTAACCTCTCCAGAGACTGTTTTGTTTTTTTTTTTAAATCCATAAAATCATACATTTTTGTTGTTGTTGTTCGGTTGCCTTTTGTGAGGACTTTTTCCTCTTACTAGGGTGTAAACTGCACACAGGGATCTTCTCTACTTTATACACTCTTGCAGTCCCAGTGCTTAGAACAGTGATAAGCACATGGCAGCGATTCAACAAACACTTGGTTGAAGGACGAGAACTGCGGGATATTATGTTGTATTCTGTTAGTATGCGCATGTGCATTCAAAGCCTTAAACCCTACTTGCAGGTCACTTGCAGAAAATTCACAGAGCGAGTCCCAGTGAAAATGACTGTACTCTTCTTTTAAGGGAGCCCAGCTAAAAAAAGCCTCAAAGTGAGTAACTGTATAAGGAGGAATGGAAAGTGGCACCCAAATAGATCTTTTATTAGTGCCATTATAATAAATTCTAATGACACACACCTCTGGCATACTGCTCTTTGTAATAATAGAAAAGGGGGGAGGCCCCTCTTTTCCATTCCTCCATTCTACACCTGCCACTATCCCAATCATCCACAGGTTCCCTTTTTCTCAGCCAATGCATGGTGTAAGATAGGACAAAGTTATGCGTCACGGACATACCCCTTATTGTCATTGTAGCAAGTCACTCCCTTCCCTGCCCTAGGCCCCACTTTCCTCATCTTTATGTGTTACTGTGACACATACGGTATTTCTCAATTATAACTAATCTGTTATGTCTCTTCTACTGGTAAGTCATGGCTCAAGGAGACTGAGTGACCTGCTAAAGATTACTAATTAGTATGAGAGCCAAGCTTTCTGACTCCAAGTTGAGGTTTCTTTCCACCACAGCAGTGAGCTGCTTAGAAGAACTCCCCCCGACCCCCCACCCCCACCCCAAGGCCTTGGTCCGTCTGCTCTATTATCTCTACGAAGGGGCAGGGATTTTCGCTGGCTCGCTCCTTGCTCTAATCTCAGCTTCTACAACTCTACCTGGCACATAGCAGGCACTCAGTATATATTTGTTGAATGAAAAAAAAAAATGATTAAGTAGAGGCGCGCCACAGTGCGTCCTGCCATTTCTAGCAAGTCTCTGCCTCTTTCTGGATTTCACCGGTCCCCCACCTCTGCAATCCCTGCCCGGCGCCCGCTTCGTTCCTCCGGCCACTAGACTGCACTGTGGCAACGCACCCCACTCAGCAGGGAGCAGCGCCCTTCTTGGCCCCGCTGAGCCTTGGCTGGTCGGAGGGCGGGGCGCGAGGAACCGGAAGTGCCGGAGCGCAGCCGCCGCCGCCGCCGCCACCGCCACCGCCACCGCCACCACTGCTGCCGCCGCCTTTAAGTGCCGTGTTCAGCGCCTGGGTTACCACCGGCTCGGTCGCCGAGGAAGCCGCCGCAGCGCGGTCGGGAGTGGAGGCGGCGCGGCATGAAGCGGCGCAGGCCTGCTCTGTAGCACGCGTCGGGACGCTCCGGGCGGGGCCGGGGGGGAAGGTGCAGTATCCGCCCCCTCTCCTTCCCCTTCGCCCGCGAGGCCTGGGCCCCAGCCCGCCCGCCCCGCTCCGCCTCACGGAGGAGCCGCCCGGCGCGCTCTCCGGGTTACCCCGCTCTGCGGTTTACCCGGCGCGCCGCCCTGCGCGGGTCCGAGCTGGTGGCGGGGCCCCCGCTTGCCGGAAGAGGAAGCCGAGGCTCGGAGATTCCGAGTCCACCAACGTTCACTGGGCGCCCCCTGAGCGCTGGGTGCTGGCCTCCGGACTTCCACGTCCGTTACCTTAATTGAGCCTCGCTGGGGTTGGGAGCCGGGTATTGCCCGGGCTTGCAGATGAGGAAACGGAAGCCCGCAGAGCCGAAGGGATCTGCCTCAAGTTCGACTGTGGCGGATCGGATTCGGACTGAGATTTTTCTGATTTCCCAGCCGGTGTTCTTTTCCTTCCTCCTGCCTCACTCTAGGTCGATTCCCTCCCTGCTCACCGGCCCCTTCTCATTCTATTTCACCCCCCTCCCCGGGGGCAGGATAGATACATTTCTTTCTCCCACCCTACCTTTCCCCTCACACACTTCTCCTGAGACTTCTAAGACTTGGCATCCCCTCATTCTCAACATTCTCTGTTAGATCTATCCTCTTCTTCCCTATTCATAGCTTTCAAGATCTTTGCCCCAGTTAGTGATAATGAATCTCTCAACTAGCTATGGACCCTGAAGAGTGAAATAGCTAGGCTTCAATGAGGCGTGGGGTGTTCAACTGGACGACTGCTTGGCTCTTGGATTAAAAATAAGAATGGCAGTTGAGTACGTCCAGATTCGGGAGTTCTGAAGCTATCCTGTAACCCAAGATGCTCTTTTCTGAGTGAGGGGCTTAGTGCATGGGACAGTGTCTTGACATCGTAGTCCATTGTTCTTAGGCTAGCATAACCATTGTCTTCCCTCCATTTGCCCCTGAGCTTTTCTCACCACATCTCTCTCCATCACCTACTTGGGCTATGAGAGCCCAGAATTAAAGCTGATAAGGAAGTAACAAGTGTAATCACAGATCCTTTTTTTTTTTTCTTTTACTAAGCCAGAATTCCAACAACTTAATGCTTCCTTTTATGGAAAAGTTACCTAATTCAATTATTTTCAGACTACAGCTAAAAAGGAGAGGAGCAAAAATGGATAGCACATTCTTGGTCTTAGGAAAAAAATGATTAAATGCAAGTTAATTTCCTTTCCACGAAAATGGCTTGTTTTATAGTTCCTTTTGGTTGTTCTCTGAGTCTACTCTGTCTCCAACCAGCTCAATATGTATTATGTAAAATAATACAAATGTATTACTAATGTAAAAGCAGGAACAGGACCAAGCACACAGAAATAAATGTTAGTAATCAATCATCTGTCATTTTTGAGGATTTGTAATACCCACCTGAGTAACCTCACATTTGTGTGCCTTTTATACTTTGTAAAGTTCTTCCGTAATTTTCCTTTTAATGTACATCTAGATGTCAGGATTTACACTATTGTTAGGATATCCTTTTGAGTAAATTTAGGGTATACATTTCTGGGATTTTAAAAAAATATAATTTTAATAATCTAAAGTACAGATACAAAATAATTCAGGCATTATATATTACACCAAGAAGAATATTTCTATACTAGTGTTAATATCTATTTGGGACTTTAGATTTACTCTTTTTGGCCTCATATGATCCATTTCAATAATGATCAACAGCCTTATATCTTATTTCATTATCCTGGTGAGCAGGATTGGATGGTGAGAAAAGGAAAGACTCCTGTGAGAAGAGAGCAAGATGAGCAGAGGGATCTATGCTTGAAGTTGAGTCACTTGAAAAAAGGTCTCTTTGAATGTGGAAGAGATCTGAGCAGATGAAAATACAATCAGGTAGGCACGAGGGAAGGGCCTTAAATGAAGAGGTAGGTGGGGCAGTGACATACATGCACTGTGCTGAAAATGTATGCTGATTCTCTTCTAATTTTTGAAATTAGAACTTTGTTAATGTATTTGAATATATGGTGTTATGGAAATCTGGAACTTAAATGATTTTGTTACGCATTTGTGTAAATTACTAAAATATCCTAGAAAACGTGGACTATTCATTTACTATAAGCAGAATAGTAGAATGTCATTTGAACCGTTAAATTTTGTATGTGTGTGTGGAGAGAGACAGAAATAGTCCAAAGACCTAGTACAGTTTAGGGAGAGCAGGTAATTGGCTATTAATGAGTGAGAGCTAATGTAGCTTTGACATAGGAGAGATGTCAAGTTGATGGTAACTCAGGAAGCTGGGCAGTAACCCTTGTGAAATCTGCCTGCCGAGCTTCCTGGTTCTATTCCCTGGCCTTATTCTTGTGAGCAGTGGTTTGGACATGAAGTTCCAAATTTAACAAATAGGGAGGTGAGGGTAATGAGCATGGCTTGCGTAGCTTTTTCTCTCAGTTGTCTCTAATTCTGTTAGAAAGCAAACTAGATCCACTGACATATTTGATAGAAAGTAGGCCTCCCATTGGCTTTTAGATGGGCAGGCCCCCATGTCCTATATTGGCACTTACTATCCGTTTGCTAAGTAGCAGTTGAGCCAAATGACTTTTTCTCTGCTGAGCTATTTGGATTTTGGTCCTTGGAGGTAAATGCCCAATTATAGTAATGTTACAGGTTGGATACCCAATATAATTCTTGAATGGGTTTTCTGGTCACTTTTGCTACTGTTACATTGAAACTGATAGTGTGATTCACTGTAGCATAAAAAAAGACACTCTCCTAGCCACACAGTTCAGTTCATTTTGCATGCCATAGTGCTTGCCTGGTGGACTTAATTCACAACCCCCACCTGCTAATTACTCTTTCTCTGTGGTTGGTAGTTACTGTGGACTCTTGTTAACCTGGGAAATTGAGCTTTAAAAAACGACATCATATTAAATATACAACCATGCATTGATTGTTGTTCTAGAGGTAGTTGCATAAGTGTAACCTGTTTCTCTCCCAAATCACAGATTGCTTCAGAATTTTTGTTTGTGTTGCTTCTTTTTGGTAGTTTCACAAATAACGCATTTCAGAATCTCACATAGTGTCTTGTCATAAGAGTTCTTGTTATTTTTTCTGATACATCGCTGCTTTAAATGCTGAAATATTGTTTAAATATTGAAATAGATAAAAGAAAATACATCCTTTTCTGAATTTGTAAAGTGACAAGAAACATCATTAGTAGATGAAATATTGACACTGTTCTGGGGTTGAACTGGGAAATTGGGTTCAGATTTTTATCAGATATCAGTAGTACAAACATTAAATTTTTTTTTTAAGACTTTATTTATTTATTTGACAGACAGAGATCACAAGTAGGCAGACAAGCAGAGAGAGAGAGGAGGAAGCAGGTACCCTGCGGAGCAGAGAGCCCGATGTGGGGCTCGATCCCAGGACCCTGGGATCATGACCTGAGCCGAAGGCAGAGGCTTTAACCCACTGAGCCATCCAGGAGCCCCAAACATTAAATGCTTTTTGCATAAACTTCACCTAATTAAAGCTGCTTGAAGATAGTATCTTTTTTCTCCCATTTAATCATGAAAGTAAAAGTTATATAATTTGAAATAATAGTTACATAAATTATTTATAGTCACCAGAAGTAGTCAGAAGATAGTGATATCTAGGCAAGAGCAGAAACCAAAGAAAAATGTACTACACAGTTACATCTGTTGTTGTTTGGAGTTCCACTTAAACAGAAACAGTATTTATATTATCTTGGTAAGTGCCCTGGGAAGCTTATTGCAAGTACATTGTTTGCTGCAATTTTATTACTGTTCTAATTGCTTGTGATTATTTCTGTTAACTGAAGTCAACGTTTATCAAACGTGTTACTTTTTTAAGTGCAAAAACACTTCACTCCTTGAGCACATTTAGATTCACTATTGACATGCTCTTGGATGGAGCATAGCAGCCAACTGGCATATGGCTTGTTTCCTTCCAGTGTGGGAAAGAAAAAAGGAATTTTTGGCAAGAGATATGTAAGGACAGCCTTTTATAAAAGTTCCTAAAGGGATTTATAGTCACAGTGAAATAGACATGACCTCAATTTTTTAAAAAAATCTCCTTTTTAAACTGAACACAGAGAAGGTGGAGCTATTCCTTTTCTTACTAGGTTTCATTGCAACTGTGCTGAAGAGCATTTTTTTTTTTCTTGCCCCTTTGGTGGGGGAAGCACTATCAGACTGTCATGCCCGTTAGTATAAAAGAAGGCAGACCTGTGAACAACTTCATGTGCCTTATTTTTCTAGGAAAATGCAACATGGCAGCAGCGATGGAAACAGAACAGCTGGGTGTTGAGATCTTTGAAACTGCAGATTGTGAGGAGAATATTGAATCACAGGATCAGCCTAAATTGGAGCCATTTTACGTTGAGCGATATTCCTGGAGTCAGCTTAAAAAGCTCCTTGCTGATACCAGAAAATATCATGGCTACATGATGGCTAAGGCACCGCATGATTTTATGTTTGTGAAGAGGAATGATCCAGATGGGCCTCATTCAGACAGGATATATTACCTTGGTGAGTATGAAGTTGTAGTTTCTGAGAAGAAATGCTTTCTTAATTCAAAATCTAGATACAATTGGCACTCCCAGTTTTGGGGAATAAATAATGAATCAATGATGTTCCATTAAAGGAACAAAACGCCTTTCCTTAGGAACGGTCAGATGAAGAACACAAACAATAAAATCACTCTCAACTAATGCTGCTCTCATTTTTTTCAACCAAGGTTGGTTTGGGTGTCTTTTTCCTGAGCCTATTCACTCCAGGTTTAAGATCTGTCTAAATTAAATATATTATGCCACTGACTTACTTCTTTTCTTTATTAAATTTTTCCTAAAGATTTTGTTTATTAATTTTAGAGAGAAAGAGCACACTGTGCGAGAGAGCGTGCAAGAGAGCGTGAGCAGGGGGAAGGGTGGAAAGGGAGGGAGAGGGACAAGAAGACTCCACGTTGAGCCTGTCCAGACTCAAGGACAAACTCAATCTCACAACCCTGAGATCATGACCAGAGCCAGAATCAAGAGTTGGCCTCTTAACCAACTAAGGCACCCAGGTGCCCTTTGTTTATTACATTTTTAAAAATAGGTTTATTCCTTTCTTCTGAAGTTATTTCATTCATCTACGTATATATTTTTTTAGGGATACTCTGCATTAGTCCACGTCAGTAATTACTGATGCATTTTCTTAACAACTTAGATTATTCCATTATATAATTGTGCCATATTTACTTAACCATGCTTCTAATAAGGGGCATTTAGGCTTTTCTGTTATCCTGTTGCAAAAGATGAGGCGATAAATATCACTGTATTGGATCATTTTGAATTTGTGAATTTACGTATAGGACTAATTCCAAAGAGTGGAATTGCTGGGATAAAAGGTGTGTATATTCTGAATTTTGGTTCATACTGCGAAATTATCCTTCCAACAAGGTTAATCACTATAATTTCAGGTGAGGTTAAGCATCTTTTCACATGTTTAAAAGACATTTGTATATATTTCTTTTTTTTTTTTAAGATTTTATTTATTTATTTGACAGAGAGGGAGATAGCGAGAGAGGGAACACAGGCAGAGAGAGGGGGAGAGGGAGAAGCAGCCTTCCCGCTTAGCCGGGAGCTCAACATGGGGCTCAATCCCTGGACCCTGGGATCGTGACCTGAGCCGAAGGCAGACGCCCAGGCACCTCAATATTTGTATTTCTTTTTCTGTGACTTATTTATAATCTTTGTGGTTTTTTTTCTTTTGATAGTTAAATTTGTGCTTCTCTGTAGGTTTTGGCTTCCTAATTAGAAAGTCTCTCCCAACTCCAGGATTATGTTTCTTAAAATCTTTATATATTTTGGACTTCCTGTTTGGTTACATTGCTCTATTAAATGAAGTACTAATACTGTGCTGCTGCTACTTTTATTACCCTTACTCTGTATGTTTTACTATTTGATAGCACTAGTTACCTTTCATCACATTTTTCTTGACTTTTTGTTTGGTGGTTTTTCTGTGAGAACTTAAAATTAGTTTGTATAGCTTCTTTCTCCTGATGTTAGTTATACTATTGTAGGATTACATTGTATTTTTTTTTTTTTAAAGATTTTATTTATTTGTCAGAAAGAGAGAAAGCACACATGCAGGCAGAGAGGCAGGCAGAGGTGGAGAGAGAGGCGGAGCGAGAGGCAGGCTCCCCGCTGAGCAAGGAGCCCGATGTGGGACTCGATCCAAGGACCTCAGGATCATGACCTGAGCCGAAGGCAGTGGCTTAACCCACTGAGCCACCCAGGCATCCCAGATTACATTGTATTTATTGGAGAAGTTAGGGAAAGTTGACAGTCTTTAAAATACTGAACTTTTCAAGATAGTTGTATGCCTTTTCATTTGTTCAAGTCTTTTATAGTCCTCTGAAGTTAATACTTTTTCTCTTTATAAATCCATTGTTCAAAAAATTTTTTTTAAGATCTGTTTATTTATTTGAGAGAGAGAGTAGGTGTGTGTGCATGATAAGAGCGTGAGAGTAGAGGGAGGGGCAGAGGGAGAGGGAGAAGGAGAGAAGCAGCCTCCCCACTGAGGGTGAATCGATCTCACCACCCTAAGATCGTGATCTGAGCTGAAATCAACAGTCAGGGCCTTAACTGACTGGGCTGCCCAGGCACCCCATTTGTTTTAAAATTTTTTCATATATTGTGAACACCAAAAAGTGTGTTCCATTGTGTCATCAGAAGAGAAATAATGGGAAAAGTTTGTTTTGTGCTTACATAGAACTGATGTGTGCATACCTAGAATGTCTTGAAGTTTTTATTGGGCATGTACAGAGCCAGGGAGGATGTTATGGAGCAAGGAGCAGTTTTAATTGCGGCAACTAAAATGATTGTGGGGAATAGCTCTCATTTGAAAAATAGATGAGAATCAGTTTTTTCGTATTTGAGGGCTGAAGACTCTTAGAAGGACAAGGCTTAAGGAGGATATGTTCACATTTTGTTAAATTATGAGTGGTGTAGATAGGTGACTACAGTCCTGACAATTCTATAACACAGTAACTCTGGAATATACAGAATAGATTTAAGACAAAGGCAAATGCTAAACGGCATTCCAGCTCATATCTAACTTTTACTCCAAAGGCAATACAAGCTAAGAAAGTTTAAGAACAGTTTAGGAAAATAAAGGAAGATGGGAATATTTGGGGGCTCATCCCCAGCCTCTGCAAGGGCTAACATGGAAGTTACCATGCCCTTCCACAGACTACCTTCTCTGCCATTATCAGAAACACTATGCTGAAGATCAGTTCTATCCAAGAGAGTTCCTTGTTCTTCCTTTGTGATTTATTTTCTCCTTCCTTCATCTTTCCCTAGTTGTTTTGGAAATGATAGCATTCTGGCATCTTTTATTGAAGAAGGGCTTTGTTTTACTTCAAGTTTTCTTCAGTTCACATCTTCATAATCATAGTTTCTATTACATCTCTTTATGTAGCTCACTCTACACTGTTGTGATATTCACATTCAGTTACTGCATGATTTCACAGAATAGGCCTGGTTTCTACTTAGTACGGGCCTCTTTACTTCACCCCTTCCCCAATAAAGGACAAAGAGATTTTTAGCAAATCACATATCAGAGTTTTTTATTGTTTTAATGAATATACTTTCAGCTGAAATTTATTACAGACTATGGTTATAGGACATTTATAATGAAGAAAAATTAGAATTCAGTTAGACCTATATATACTTCTAAATGAGTAGTTTAAAAGCTTCAAAAAAAAAAGAAACTTAGTCATCTGCTGTTGCCACAAAGCACCCCATTTGAAATTTCATAAATCTATTGCGAACTTGTAAGAGACTTAACAATTTTCAAAAAACTAAAAGTGACAATTGTCCTTATATCATCTGAACACTTTTATGTTTGTATTGAGAGGGACCAAGATCTGAAATGAAACCTGAGCATTTTTCTGGGAAACCTGGGTTTTTATTGAAGAAAATTTCCATGACAAATGGCATGTACATCTCCTACTTGTTAACCTTCCTGTAGAGTGCATTATGCGGCGCCTAGGTGGCTCAGTTGGTTAAGCAGCCAACTGTGGATTTCAGCACAGGTCATGATGTTGGGGTCCTGGGATTGAGCTACATGTTGAGCTCCACACACTGTGTGCAGAGTCTGCTTGAGGATTCTCTCCTCCCTCTACCCTTCCCCCTACTCATGCCCTCTGTCTCTCTGTAAAAATGGATAAATAAATCTTTAAAAAAAAAGATTTATGTACTTACTTAGACTGTAATTGAAGTAGATTGCTGTTTTTGAAAATAATTTTTAAATGACTGTTTTCTCTTACAGCTATGTCTGGTGAGAACAGAGAAAATACACTGTTTTATTCTGAAATTCCCAAAACCATCAACAGAGCAGCAGTCTTAATGCTCTCTTGGAAGCCTCTTTTGGATCTTTTTCAGGTAGAATTAAACACTGCTATTCCTGTGATTGGTATACATTTTCAGATACTGCCTTTACTAAGAGGCAGAAATTCAGGTGGGGTTTTATACTTGACATAGATGTGAATCAAAAAGAATTAAAGTATTTTTATATTTTTGAATGTCTAACTGTTAAAGTCCATTTAATTCTCAACATCTGAAACTAAGGGGTATTATAATTCTGATTTTTAAAACTAACTTCCCCCTGTCTTACCACCTTTCCTTCCATAAACTTGTTAGTTATATAGTTCTCACATTTTGAGGTAAGAGTTCATATTAAAAAAGTAATTATATTTCTAGAAAGCTTTTTATTTAAATCTTTAAATTGAATTTATAGTTCTGATTCTTAGTAACAGTGCTAACTTAAGGGTTAAGAAAAGGTACTAAGTTCAGTTTTTGTTTATAAATGTAGAATTCAGTTTACCTAGAATCAAAGCTTAAGGGTTATTTTTGTTTAGTATTGTTTTTTCCCTCAATATTTTATCTTTAGACAAAAAGCAAATAGTCAAACACCCCAAGAATAAGATAATAATTTGGGTGTAATTGTTTGCCCATTTGGTTCTCATTTATTATTTTACATTGAGTATTTCCTTATTAAACATTGTTTTAGGTTAAATGAACCAAAATGTGATATTAAGAATTAAAAAAATAATTTCCATGGTAACTAATCATTTTGACTGTAACTGTTTTTCAGGGCTATTGTTTTTCCCATAGGCTTATGATTTTCTTTAAAACAGAAAGAACTAAAATAATGGTAGATTCCTCATGGAACAGTTTGGAAATTAATAAATCAAAGTTGTATTTTATTTTAAACTTTTATTGTGGAAAATTTCAAACTAATAGAATCATACGTGATTATCAGTAATTATCAAATCCTGGCCATTTGCATTTCATTGTAGGCCTGCCAGTCCCCCCACGTAGTCTCTAGCCGTACCTCTTGGATTATTTTGAAGCAGAGCAAGATAAGTTGTTTCATTCTTAAATAAATCAGTGTGTGTCAAAGGGTACAGATTCTTTTTAGACATTATCACAGTATCATTATCATAACTTCTTCATATGAAATATTCAACTAGTGTCCATGTTTCCCTGATTTTTAACTATAATTTTTATACTTGATTTGTACTAATCAAGATCTAAATAATATTCATATTTTACAATTGATTAATAGGTCTGTTTTAATTTATTGATTTACCCTCCATCCTTTTTTTTTTTTTTTTTTTACCCATTGCACTTTATCTGTTAAAGAAAGGTCTGTTTTTGCTGGTTGTTTATCCAGTGGTGGTATTTGATCTATTTTTTTGGTCCCCTGTATTTTCTGTAAATATGAATAGGTAGTTAGATTTAGAAACTTGATCATACCCAGGTTTGCTTTTTTTTGAAAGAAGGGTCTTGAAACATATTTGTACATGCATGTTTATAGCAGCATTATTCACAATAGCCAAAAGGTGGAGACAACCCAAGTGTCCATGGACAGATGGATGGATAAACAAAATGTTGTATATACATACAGTGGAGTATTACTCAGCTTAAAAAAGAAGGAAATTCTACATATACTACAATGTCGATGAACCGTGAACATATTAGGATAAGTGAAATAAGCCAGTCACAAAAGGACAAATACTCTATGATTCCACTTACATGAGGTACCTAAAGTAGTCTGATTCATGGAGATAGAAAGTAGAAAGTGATTGTCAGGGACTAGGGGAAGAGAATAATGGGGAGTTGTTGTTTACTGGGTGTAGAATTTCAGTTTTACCAAATGAAAAAGTTCCAGAGATGGGTTACACAACAGTATGAGTACACTTAACACTACTGAATTGTACACTTAAAAATAGCTGAGGTGGTAAATTTTTTTTTTTTAAAGATTTTATTTATTTATTTGACAGCGAGAGATCACCAAGTAGACAGAGAGGCGGGCAGAGAGAGAGAGAGAGAGGGAAGCAGGCTCCCTGCTGAGCAGAGAGCCTGATGCGGGACTCGATCCCAGGACCCTGAGATCATGACCTGAGCCGAAGGCAGCGGCTTAACCCACTGAGCCACCCAGGCGCCCCTGAGATGGTAAATTTTGTTATATATATTCTGCCATAATTTAGAAGAAAGAATATTTCATAGATAAGGTATGCTTCCATCTAGAGGCATATAGAGCCTTATTTTACTTCTTATGATGATGGTACCCTTTGATCATTGCCAAGATTGATTAATTCATTAGGAGTTATAAAACAGTGATGTTTTATCATTTTCTTCTTTATTTGTTAACTGAAATAATTCTATAAAAAGAAATTACTGTTCAACCACTATTCTGAGGTATGCACCCTGAGGTGTGGTTCATAATGAAAAGGCAGGATAAAGTTTGATTCTTTCCCTTTACTTACCATTTTCCAAATAATTTGTTTCCTGCAGTCCTCCATAGATGATCAGTTAGGGTTTTTTGGAGGGGTGTTTGGGTTTTTCTTGGTTTTGGGTATCTTCATAAACTTATAGAGTAAACTTGTTTGATTTTTTTGATACATTGATAATTATTCTTATTGTTCAAGTTGTCTTATTATTGGCTGGTGGCAGCCCCTTCAGCTTGACATGTCAGATCCTAAAGACATGTTCCTTGCTAGTATGATGCTAGGCTAGTATGAAGTTACGTCTTACACATTGCCTCTACCATGCTTGGAGTCAGTCATTGAGTGACTGATTATTGAATGTTAAATCAATGAACTTTGGTTCCTGTAGAGGAAATTGGTAGTAAGAGACCATGATCTGGGTACTAGGGGCGTTCATTATTATTGGGTTGGTAATTGTTTCTGGGCTTTTTTTATTGAACACACTAGGGAATATATCGATATTTTGTGTGTGTGTGTGTGTGTGTGTGTGTGTTTGAATTGTAGGTATCAGTATGAATCCATATCAATTCAGATAAATTCTAAGTTCAGACTGATACATCTAATTCAGATTTTACACTACAGGATTTTTCTTCAACCCCATTTATCGTACATATGAATCTCCTTTCTCTAATGCCAAAAGGTCCCAGTTTAAACAACAATATAATTACTCATTTGCTTTACCCCATATTACACACTCAACAGTTTCAAAATAATGAAGGGGAAAAAAAATAACAAAGGAATCAACACTGTGATTACTTACAAGAGTAACTTAGAATTGTTCTCTTCTATGTGGTTATGCCACTGGTTCCGTATAGTGAAGTACATTTGCTTCATTTTGTTTTCAAGTGGTGGAATTCCTTTATTTTTAGTTGAATTTTGTTTTATAAAATAGTTACAGGATTCCAAATTCAAATCCACAAAACAAATCCTGTCTCCTCTACTCTATTTCCTTTCCTTTCCATCTAAATAGGCTTTTAGTTTTAAATAGCTTATCCTTTTTTGGAAAAAATGTGAGTGTATAGACATTCATATCACCCCTTAGATAAATAGTAACATACAATATACATTTTTTTCTACCTTGCAGTTTTCAAATAACATTGTATCCTTCAGACCACTCCGTAGGAATCTATACATAATTTTTATTTCTCTTTACATCTGTATTGTGTTGTACAGACTAATCATCTTCAACCAATTCCCTATTGATGGACATTTCAGTTATTTTCAATTGTTCTCTTACAAATAGTACCCTGGTGAAACCACTTGAGCATACAACTCTTTATATTTTTGCCAGTATGCCTTTAAGCTAGATTCTTAGAAATGAAATATCTGGACCAAAAGGTATATGCTTTCGTTATTTCGCTAGAGAGTATCAAAATTTCCTCATTAGGAACTGTGCCATTTTGAATCTCCACTAGCAGGATATTAGTGTACCTGTTTTTCTACAAGTTCTCCAACACGATATATAATCAAGCATTTCGATTTTTGCCAATTTGATAGATAGAAATGGACTCCAATATAGTTTAATTTGTATTTCTGTTATAGACAAAATTGATCATCTTTTTATATGGTTAAAAGTTTCTTGCATTTCTTTCTCTCTGTATTGTTTATTCATATTTCTAACCCATTTTTCTACGGGGTGATGGATCTCTTCACTCTTAGGAGCCTTTTATATGTTGGGGATATTAACCTTTTGTCTGTGATTTGGTTGGCAGATATTTTTTCCAGGTTGTCATTTGTATTTTTACTCATTTTATTGTGTGTGTGTGTGTTAGCCAGGTGAAAGATTTTTGTATCTGGGCACCTGGGTGGCTCAGTGGGTTAAGCCTCTGCCTTTGGCTCAGGTCATGATCTCAGAGTCCTGGGATGGAGCCCGCATCGGGAATCTCTGCTCAGCAGGGAGCCTGCATCCCCTCCACCCCCGCCTCTCTGCCTACTTGTGATTTCTGTCTGTCAAATAAATAAATGAAATCTTAAAAAAAAAAAAGATTTTTGTATCAAATTTATCATCTTTATTGCTTCTAGAATTTGTGTCTTCTTGTCTTTGTTAGGACAGTTTTCCTGTACCCCCAAATTATAAAAGAAGTCACCAATGTTTTCATCTGGTACTTACATGGTTTCATGTTTTAAAGCTCTGTTGAGGTAGAATTGACATAATAAACTACAAATATTAAAGTATACAATATGATAGATTTGGGCTTATGTATGTACCTGTGAAACCATTACCTCAGTCATTACCCACAAAAGTTTCCTTGTACCCTTTTGTAGTCTCCACCTTCCACCCGTCCCAAAGCATCCATGGTACCCATCTTGTATAGTCTTTCATAAGTATTATCTCTTAAGTATTTCAGATTTTTTATTCTATTGTAAATGGTATTTTCTAATTTCAGTTTCTGGTTGTTCATTGCCAGTATTTAGAAATACAGGTGATTTTGTATATTGATCTTATCCTGCAACCTTATTTAAACTCTTTTAATCCATTAGATTTTTTTTTTAAGATTGTATTTATTTATTTGACAGAGATCACAAGTAGGCAGAGAGGCAGGCAGAGAAGAGGCAGAAGCAGGCTCCCTGCTGAGCAGAGAGCCCAATGCGGGCTAGATCCCAGGACCC